ATTATTATTATTAACACGCTCTGATGCTAAGGAGTCCTACTCCCCCTCCCCACCTGAAAATAAATCTCTTCCAAAGGCAAAGCACAAGCAGAGGAGAGGAGTGTCCGTTTCAGTTTTAGTTTCACAGCAGCAACCGGCTTTAGTCCAGAACAGTTGGGCTCCTTGCTGGCTCCTTCTTGCTCACACAGCAAATACTGCTTCAGTTTCCAAACATCCCTCAACTCTCCCTCGATATAAAACAAACACATTACTAGATGGATAATCAGTTTGCTGGTGATGGCAGCTTAGGCATTTCACAGGGGAATTGATCCTTTGCGCAGAATCCTGAGGTCTAGAATCATGCTTTCATTTTAGGAAACTTGGGAACTTGGCATATTTTTTGGCATGTCAAAAGGAAGGAAGGAAGGAAGGAAGGAAGGAAGGAAGGAAGGAAGGAAGGAAGGAAGGAAGAAAGAAAGAAAGAAAGAAAGAAAGAAAGAAGAAAGAAAGAAAGAAAGAAAGAAAGAAAGAAAGAAAGAAAGAAAGAAAGAAAGAAAGAAAGAAAGAAAGAAAAAGAAAGAAAGAAAATATCCTGGGTTTTAATCTTAGCATTCCCAGGAAATGGGAGGAAAAACCAAGGAAATCTCTTCTTTTATTATGGAGCCTGGCTCTTCATGTTTACATCCCAAATCCTTCCACTGATGAATTTTTGCAGGGCGTGGAACATTTTCCTTTAGTGACCGCAACTGGGACAGGCAATTCCATTGCTAAGCAAAGAAGTCGCTAAGTGAAACTATTAGACAGCGCTTGTGATCTAATCCCAGCTGTCCTGCCTGCCAGGGTCGTATTAAATGTGCGGATTAGTTGTCAAGTACTTTTAAAATCCCTGTCATAATCGCAAGTGGCCGCTTAAATGAGGCAGTCACTAAACAAGGACTGTCCCTTCCTGTATCTCATTTCCCACAGCTGCCACTTCCTGGAAACCTCATATATCTTAATAAGGACACCACAATTCCTAGATTCTTATTCAGAATCAAAGCATCTGTTCTAAAATGTGATACAAGTGTGATTCTTGACTTATGACCACAGTTGAGTCCAACATTTCAACGCTGGGAATTATGTTCATTCCCAGCCCGTAATGAGTCCCAAACAGCCCCTCGAGATAAGCACCCACCTTTCTCTCCTTTGAATGGCTGCCGACAACAAAAGTGCCAAATTAACTGTCAAAAGCCAAATGGAGTATAAAGTCCACACAGAGCTTCAAGGTTTAATCCAAACAGAGCGAACAAAGTTGCTTCCTGCAAAGGTTCCTGTCCCTTTGCACATCCTTTATGTCTTATGGGAGGACCAATCACCTCCCAGCCTTTCTCCCAAGTCGCCCCTTTTGTCTTAGCTGCTCTTGCTTTCTAGCAGCTCTGTGCATACGCAAACTGGGAACAGGCTCCCCTTGTTCTTCTGCCTCGCTGCTGCCAGACTCCGAAGGCTCTGGAGTCAGCACCCCACTCCCAGATGGTCCTGGCCCCATCTCTGCATTGGACACAGGACCCTCCTCCCTGACTGGTCCCTGTTCTTCCCCACTGTCCAATACCTTTGCTGTATGCACAGGCTGCCAGCGTACCACAACACAAACTACAGGCAGAGTCAGCCTGCAATACTGCAACCCCTGTGCCACCACGGCTCGTAATTAATCCCTAAAATCCCATTTGGATGGGAGGAAGTCTACTTAACTTTCCCCAGCCTGGGTCCTTCAAAATAGATGGATGCCCCACCCGATGATCCCTACTAAGGGATCCGTATTTGTGGTGCCTACAATTCCCTAGACTCCCGGACTGGCCCATGTTCCTCCTCGCTGTCCAACTCTGCTGCCAGCTCCACAGGCTGCTGGCAGACTATAACAGCTAAATGAACAAGTTGTAAGTTGAAGACTACCTGGATTGGACGGGTGTGTACATGACAGCAGGGCGGTTGGAAACCCCGATCAAAACGGCTGATTGTGATCTGAGCGTCGCCTTGGGTGTGACAATAACTTCGCAGTGATATCATATATATATTACACGCTGCTCTCGTAAAACCGCCTAACCCAAATTTCCCCTCTCTCAGCACTAGGCTTTTTTTTGTCCCCCACGCCTGACTCACACGCTGCTGCGATGCTTGTTTTCTTCCCTCCCATGTTTGTCTCCGCAGATCCGGACTGGGCTTCCCACACGCTGGGGGTCTTCGTTTGCTTAAACTGCTCGGGGATCCATCGCAACATCCCCCAGATCAGCAAGGTGAAATCCGTCCGTATGGATGAATGGGACTCGGCGCAAATTGAGGTAACGGGTTGCTGGAAGATGAGATAGATCAGATCAACGTTAGGGCTGCGTTTTACGGTGGGCACACGTTGAAAATGAAATGCTGTCGCCTGCTCTCAAAAGAAAGTCTATATCAACCCATACACAACACACACATACACAAGCTATACAAACACACACCTCTCTATCTCTACCTCATCTCACAGATAGAGATGAGATCTCTAATATCTGTCATCTATATCTATATCTATCATCTACCATCCATCATCTGTGTGTCTATATCTATTTATCTGTCTATTATTATTGATCATCTATATGTCTATCATTTCTTTGTATCTATATCATCTTTCTCTTTTTTAATAATTTTATTAATGAACAACAAACAGAAAAAAAAACATTAAAAACAATAAACATGGTGCATACATAACAAAAAATACAAATTTACATGTGTACATAAATATTAATCATCTTTGCTAGAGTTACTCCTTTCTTTTTTTTCAACCAGTGGTAAAACTTCTCTCAAATTCTGTAATAATCAGATTCAGTCTTATCTTTTAATTCTTGAGTTATTCTATCCATTTCAGCGCACGACCAAATTTTTCTAATTATTTCCATCTCTTCTGGCATATCATTTCCTTTCCATCTTTGGGCAAGAGCTAGTCTCGCAGATCATCATCTTTCTCTATCATCATCATCATCTACCATCTATCTGTCTGTCTGTCTATCATCATCTATATGTCTGTCTATCATTTCTTTCTATCTATATCTATCATCATCTATCTCTATCATCTATCTATCTATCTATCTATCTATCTATCAACTATCTATCTATCTATCTCTACCTACCGATATCTCTCTCTCTCTCTCTCTCTCTCTCTCTCTCTCTCTCTCTCTCTCTATCTATCTATCTATCTATCATCTATAGAATAGAAAGAATAGAATAGAATTCTTTATTGGCCAAGTGTGATTGGGCACACATGGAATTTGTCTTGGTACAAATGCTCTCAGTGTACATAAAAGAAAAGACATTCGTGAAAAACCGTAAGGTACAACATTTAATAATAGTCATAGGGGAGAAAGAGAAGAAGAGGAGGAGGAAGAAGAAGAGGAAGAAGAATGAATGAATTCTTTATTGGCCAAGTATGGTTGGACTCACAAGGAATTTGTCTTGGTGCAAATGCTCTCAGTGTACATAAAAGAAAAGATACATTCATCAAGAATCATAAGGTGCAACACTTAATAATAGTCATAGGGTACAATAAACAATCAAATCATACAAGGAAATAATAAAAATTGTTCAGATACAAGCAACAAGGTTACAGTCCTAGAGTCATAAGTGGGAGGGGATGGGTGAAAGGAAGGATGGGAAGATTATTAGTAATAGTAGTGCAGACTTAGTAAATAGTTGGACAGTGTTGAGGGAATTATTTGTTTAGCAGAGGGATGGCGTTCGGGGAAAAACTATTCTTGTATCTAGTTGTTCTGGTCTAGCTGTCTATATCATCCATCTATCTATCATCATCACCTACCATCTGTCTATCTGTCTGTCTGTCTGTCTGTCTGTCTGTCTATCTATCTATCTATCTATCTATCTATCTATCTATCTATCTATCTATCTATCTCACTGTCCATCTTGAATACGTAAGCGGTAAGAGGAAACTTGAGAGTTGATGCTATATGGAACAAAACTGGAACAAAACAAAGCAGGTAGAGGTCCCTTAAATCTGTGGCCCCTCCAATTTTTGGGAAGTGGAGACCAGTTCTGTGGAGGGAGCTTTTCCCATGGACCGGTGGGGGTGGGGGTTTCATGTGCTGAACCCCATAAATGGGGCTTCGTTTGTTTGTGTGGCCTGGTTTCTGGCATGTTGGGGACCCCTGCCTTAAATCATTGCTGGAGATGGCTAATGGGGTGATCAATTGATTTGAAGGGATCTTGCAGCAAAATCTTACGGGGCAAGAAATGCCACCCTTGGCCCTGTCTGCGATCCCAACTTCAGTTGGTCCTTGACTAACAATCATCGTTTAGCGACCCAAGCCATGCGATCAACATTTGGCTTCCGACAAAGTCAACAGGGAAAGCTGGATTCGCTTAAGGACCCCATGATTCACTTAATAACTTCAGTGGTTTGCTTAATCACTCTGGCAAGAAAGGTTGTAAAATCAGGCGTGACTCACATAACAACCACCGTGCTTTGCAATGGAAATTCTGGTCGTAAATTGAGCATTACCTTTATATGCTGAATCTAAAGGAGATCATTGGATAGATCTATAATCGGAAGGGAATCCTTGTCTCTGATTGTTTTGGGTCAAGTGAATGAATTAATAATGGACTTTTAAAATATATATCTATATCTATTTACTTGCAGTTCATGGCTTCCACAGGGAATACTGTCTCCAAAGCTAAATACGAATCCCAAATCCCACCATTTTATTATAAGCCAACTTTTCTAGACTGTCTGTAAGTATCCACCTTTTGCTCAAGCATTTTGAGGATAAGTTATTTTCCAGGCACGCCAGAGTAATTATAATCTTCATCCTGCTGGCTGGTTTGAGCTGATTTTTTAAAAAAAAAAAAAACCTGCAATGAAATTGGATCAATTGAAAACTCTTAAAAAGTCATCATCTGTAGTTTGCATAAGATTGGATTATTTTCTCAGCTCTTGGATGTTACCGATGAGAACAATAGCTGTTTTGCTTTTGTTGTTGTTGTTGTTTTAGATAATTATTGCATTATCTGTTGTCACGAAAAACACTTCCAGGGTTAAAGTAGTTTGTAGAAAAAGAGAAATACATGTTTACGTGTGAACGGAAACTTAGACATGAATCACGGAATTCATCGCATGTTGATTGAGTTTATAATGCTACGTTCATAAAATGGGACAAATTTCACTTAACTGCCTTGTTTAGCATCGGAAATTTTGGGCTTAATTGTGGTCACAAGCTGAGGATTGTCTGTATTGCTGGAGGATATTGTTTTGGGTGAAAAAAAATATCATCATTGCAGTGCTTTTTAAATCAATCCTTTTTCTGGTTTTCTTTCTTTTTTTCTTTTTGTCAGGCTGTTACGAGAACAATGGATCAGGGCTAAATACGAAAGGGAAGAATTCATTTTCACTGAGAAACAAGAGCCTTACTCTGCAGGTAATGGAGAAATAGTTTTTGTAGGTATGAATCTAAATGTTTACTGTTCAAAGTTCTTATTGACTTAAGCCTCGGGGGGCGGGGGGAAACTTTTGTCATATTTACTTCCACTTTTAACCATAGTTCTGTGTTTGGTCCAAAACGGAGTTACTGATTATAGTGTTCAAGGATTACATTGAATCCTGATTTTACATATCAGTTTGTTCACACTTCACCAGTTAACTCTGGGATTCTCAACCTGCTCATTTTGACCTCTGGCTTGTGTTCCAGTTATGTTGGTTCTTGATGCTTTTGCCATACAGGTGTGCAAAAGAGACTTCTGTTTCCTAAAAGAAAAAAGAAGAAGGGGAAAGTACACCTTTCGCACTTACTAAAGAGTAATTTTGATTTATTTTTAGCTGGCCAAACAGGATGTGGACCACTTGTTTAGGAGGAAGCCACTATTGGTTTGAACTCAGGGCAGTCTTAAAATTAGTAAGACACGCATTCATTTGGAAACTGATTGTTTCTTTTGTTTCATTCTACCTGCGAATGTTTTAAGAGATTGGCCTGTGTGTATGGTGGAAATAAATTACAGGTATGGTGAGAATGGCTAACAGAAACTTAAGTCAGACTTAAAAGTTAAGAGGACTAATTTGTTCTAGTGGTTAAGACACCAGACAAGGAAGCTGGAAACCGTGAGTTCTAGTCTCACCTTAGATATGAAAGCCAGCTGGATGACTTTAGACCTATCACCAGGAGACTGTGAGTTCTAGTCCTGCCTTAGATATGGAAAACAGCTGGGTGACTTTGGGCCAATCACTAGGAGATTGGGAGTTCTAGTCTTGCCTTAGCCACGAAAGCCAGCTGGATGACTTTGGGCCTATCACCAGGAGACTGTGAGTTCTAGTCCCGCTTTAGATACAAAAGCCACCTGGGTGACTTTGGGCCAGTCTGTCCGTCTCAGCCCTGCCCACCTCACAGGTTTCTTTCTTCTTGTGGGGCAAAAGAAGAGAAGGAAGATGTGTTGGATATAAAAGGCAGGATATAAATAAATAAAGAAGAATTAACACAGACACTCCTTTTTGGAAATGCCAATCACAAATCCCGTTGGGACAAAATGCAAGGTTTTCTGATGCCTGAGAAATACTGGTTATGGGTCAGCATAACAAAAATCGCAAAGCACCAAAAATCGCAAAGGATTTGTTTCTAATACATTTTATTGTAAGGCAATAAGCTTTCATCAGCTGTGGTTTTCTGACTTTCTTCCTCCTGCCAATGTGTACTAACCAGAATTTCAATGGGACGGGCTATAATTTTGCTTTTGGGGGGGGGGGGTAGACAATAGAATTATAGAATAACAGAGTTGGAAGGGACCTTGGAGGTCTTCTAGTCCAACCCCTCCTGCTCGGGCAGGAAAACTTATACCATTTCAGACAGATGGTTGTCTAATTGCTTCTTTAAAAACTTCCAGTGTTGGAGTTCCTACTAGCCTGCCTTTGATTTGCAGCTCCAACAGGCAAGCTGTTTGCTTCCTGATTCCTTGGGGTTGGCAACGGTGTGCAGAAAATGACAAACGCTGGCACCCCTTCCTTACAAGGACAAGCAAGAGACTCCTGCAGGAGGGGGAGAGCGAGAAGGAGGGGAAATGTTAGCTAGAGAACAGCCGGAGCAGCAGAAGTTATAATATGACGAATGAGTCGACACCGAAAGAGTGTCACAACACACATGCAACGTGGCTTCGTAAATCACCGAACAATCTGGGGGCTGTTTGGTTTCACTGCCCATCCCTGCCTTTGAGGATGACTTGGTTCCCCCAAAACAAACCACGATGGTCAGACATACCAGGATTTAAGGCTTTTGAAGAAGCCCAATTTGTGTAGATGGTCCTCCCAGAGATTTTAGCCAAGAGGACTTTCCTGAATTCTTCTAACTCAAGGACCAGAAGTGGGTGATCTTCTAGAGATGATGGATTATGTCTCCCATTACCGAAAACCATTGATCGTGTCAGGTGGGGACCATGGGAACTGGAGTCCAACAATGTCTGAAGAGCCAGAAGATCCCGAGCATTTTTTGAAGAGAAGAAATGGAATCCCCAGCATTTGGAGACACCGGTCACTTCAAATTAAAGGCTTCCTGAAAGGTGGGATTTCAGAAGTGAGTTATGGGTTCTCCCAAGAGGCTGGCATGGACATCACAGCGTTGATGGAACTGTCTAGAAGATCCAGGCTGAGGTGTAGAAGCTTCAGATAAGATGTTTGGTGCTCATTATGCGGAACACAAAAGCTACACAAGGCCCTCTTTTCTTCTTGACTCCAAGGAAAATGCATAAAATAAGCCTCTTTCATGCCTGGCCCTCCAATCTTTCCTTCTGTGCAGAGCTCAACAATAGCATTGTTGTTAATAAAACAGTGGGTGTGTGGTGGAAACGGTACAGCTGAGACCGTGATGGTTGCAAAGCTGGGGTCATGGGTAAGAAGGCGGTTTTTTGGGGGAGTGGGGGCAACACCCAACAGCTTTCACGGTGTCCTTGTGAGAACTTTGGCATTTTTCACTCCTCATTGTCTCAAGATGGAACATACAAACTCTTGTTTTCCTCCTCAGTTGCACTAAGGAGCTTGGGAGTCGATCCATCTGTCCTTCCTTCCGAAGGAGACTAAAAAGCAAATTATTGGAGAGACCAGTGCAGATATGAAGGAAGCCCTGTAGAAATGGTGTCCATGATAAAAACAGAGAAGAGAACATTGAGATATGTTCTCACCAACGTGAGACTCAACGGTGGGTTGAAATGGAACCAAGAAGAAACAAGGGACAAGCTTGAAGGCATCTTAAAACATGAACATGGATACAAAAGGAGGTGTGGGTTTCTGATCCCAAGTCTCCCAGATTGCTTAAGGACGAGAAAAAGTTGAGGTTGCCAGGAATTGTGGCCAAATTCAGGTGTTATTTTTTTCTTTGTTTTACAAGATGGATCTTTTTCTCAAGTAGGAATGTCAAAGAAGGCCATGATAATTTTCTTTGCAAGGAGTTGAACCATTTCAACTGGGTTTTGCAGGAGCATCGAAACTAATATCACATATATAGTTCTAGACATTTGGGATATTGAAATTATGGTAGAATAATGAGTATTTTTAAAAAATAATAATATACACGTGACTTAATAGGGGATAACAAATACATGGTGAAAAGAAATGTTATTTATGCTTAAATGAATGGAAAAAAATGAGAAAGAATTATAAAGAGATAATCGTATTGTTGAAGTTGGAAGATTAGGATTTTATGTATATGCTTATTTGTATTATCATTATTAGCATTGTTTAAAAAGGACATTGACCTAGTCAATGTACTGTCCACAAAATATGTATGCTGTGAAAGGAAAACTGTAAATAAAGCATGAATTATTAAAAAAACAACAACTAGTATCTTAGATTTTAAACAGGTCCTGAGGTCCCAACTAAAATACTTCTGTGTCATAGGAACAGATCCCCAGAAATGATACTTGGAATTCCTTCTTAGCACTTTCTTTATTGTTGTTGCCTACAGACTTGCCAGACTAAAACAGAAGATGGATTTTTTATTTCCACCAAGAGATTCTGGATGAATGTTCACAAAGGAACAATCTAAGTTTCATCTTCTTTTTACAAAGTAATCATCTGTTTCTTGTAGAAAACATTTGCTGTTTTTTGCTGTTTCTCCACAGGCTACCGGGAAGGGTATTTGTGGAAGAGGGGACGTGATAATGGGCAGTTTCTGAGCAGAAAATTTGTCCTTTCGGAACGGGAAGGAGCCCTGAAATACTACAACAGAAATGATGTAAGAGTGATGGTAGTAGTTGGTGGTAGAGTAGGTCCTCTTTTGAAGAATGGGCCACAAGATAACCTGCCTGGTCTCTTGTTTGTAGATTTTAATCTATATATATATAAAAGTGAAAATACCACTCACACATCATCATAAAATCTCCAGAACCATAAAGCCTACAAACTTGAAATTTGGCATGTATCTTCCTCCTGGCTTCTAGGGGCTCACTAAGAAAGGATTTTGTGAAATGACCATCAGAGCATTAGTATTTAGTATTTTATTATTACTAACACACTTGGATGCTGAGGAATTCTACTCCCCCTCCCACCTGAAAAGAAATCTCCTCCAAATGCAAAACACAAGCAGAGGAGTTTCGGTTTTAGTTTTAGTTTCACAGCAGCAACCAGCTTTAGTTCAGAACAGTTGAGCTAAGTCCCACTCAGGCTCCTTGCTGTCTCCATCTTGCTCACATAGCAAATACTGTTTCAGTTTCTAAACAGCCTCACACACTGACAGGATGCTAGCCAGATGAATACCGATGGATGCTGGTAGGCAGAGGCAGATTTTTTTTCCTTATTGTCCTCCCCCCAAATTAAGCCCCACCACATAGTTTCATAGTGAAGCATGGGTATCAAGTTAGTTAATGATATGGTACATTATATTCTGAGAGAACATGAGAATAAGACTGTGTTCCTAAGTTCTCACGGGCCTTGTACTAACTTGGGAGTGAGTTAATGGTTCAATCTGTTGAAGGAATACCAAAAAGAGATCAGCAGATCCTATCAGCTAACCCCAAAGAAACTAAATTTAGCCCCAAACAAAACCAATCACACACAGCTTCAATCACTTGACCCCCACAGTTGGGTTACCAAATCCCAGATCCATTTTGCCATACCATGCTTCCTTCCCAAGCTGCACACTCGGTGAGAGAGGACAACCACTTCAGATAGAAGGAGAATACCAGTTTTCTGATGGTAGGTGTGGAAGATTGGCGTTCTCACCATGTTGGGTTAAGCTGAAGGAGGTTGGGATAATGGTAGCATTGTTTGTGGTAGGAGCCCAGTTGTTCTGGCGTTGAACCAGGTCATCATCATCTTCCAAAACTTGGTGGATTTTGTAGGACTTATCCCACCCTATAAATACAAACATGGTCTTTTGATGTATTAATTGGCTTTATGTTTAGCATCTCAAGTGAATTCAGGCGAAAGATGAACTATGGTCAATGTCTAGTCAAGAGGAAGGAATGGCCAGGTTCTCCCTTCGAGTGAAAGAACTTCACTGCACCTTGAGTGGAAAAGTGACTAGTTCAACAGGATCCACCAAAGCAAGGTTTATCAAATTTGACAGCTTTAAGATGGGTGGACTTCAATTCTTAGCATGCTGGCTGGGGAATTCTGGAAGTTGAAGCCCACAGAGTTGCCAAGGTTGAATAAACACTGCACTAGAACGTCTCAGGCAGGAGGCCATCTATAAGGAAGGGTCTAGCCCAGTGTTTCTCAAACTTGGTTACTAGATAATGTGGGCTTCTACTCCCAGAATTCCCCAGCTGGCATCATGGTTGGTGCTGTCCAAGGTCCTGATCGATCCTAAGACAACTGCTGGGTCATTTCTTCATAGATATGACTCAGCTCCTTCCTATGGTTGGCAAAGAAAATGAGGATTGTGACTTCATGGTTGCTTCTGGATCTTCTGGAGATCCGGAGCCAGAAATAAGAGCAAATGGGTGTTTATGCACCTTTGAGCATTACGTTTGAGGAAGCGAGAATTCATAATTCATAATGCTCCAACTGAATGATTTTTAAAATATTTTTTTTGGGGGGAAAGTTTAAAAGACTCTGCGTTGCTGAGGCCAGTTGCAATTAAAAACAGAAGCAACTTAAGCTGTCTGCGAGCTCTATCCACCCATGTCCACCATTTCTTCTGTATTTACTGAATGTGCCTAGGAATTCTGGGAGTTGAAGTCCACGGGTCTTAAAGTTGCCAAGGTTGGTTACTTCAATTTAAATCCTGACCTTATGTTAATTCCTGATGGATTACAGAACTACTTCTCCCAATTTTGTTTGGGGTGAGTACTTGTGTACCCGATGCGCCACAGATATAGCGAAGCCCTCCAACATTGCAGCTGTGGTTGATGTGCTGTGGTGGTTTTCCTCGCCAGGCCAAAGAACCCAAAGCGATTATGAAAATTGAGCATCTCAACGCCACCTTCCAGCCTGAGAAAATTGGAAACCCTCATGGGTTGCAGATCACCTACTTGAAGGACAACAGCACAAGGAATATTTTTGTTTACCATGAAGATGGCAAGGTGGGAGCCCCGAAGTAAGGAAGGAAGCAGCTCCAAGAGTTGGTTTGCATGTGGCCAAAAGGAGCAGCAAGTAGAGACTGTGTCTCTGTGTGTTTGTGCAGCCCTTCTGACTTGTGGTGGCAACAAGGATGGCTCCAGATAATTGCTAAGACAATTGTCCACCCAGTATGGTTCTCTTTGTCTTCTTATCCATCAATCATCTCTCTCTGTCTCTATCATCCATCCATCCATCTACCTACCCATCTACCCACCCATATCTATCTATCATCTATCTATCTATCTACCTACCTACCTACCTACCTACCTAATCATCTGTCTATCTATCTATCTATCATCTATCTATCTATCTATCTATCTATCTATCTATCTATCTATCTATCATCTATCTATTATCTATCTATCTATCTATCTATCTATCTATCTATCTATCTATCTATCTATTATCTATCTATCTATCTATCTATCTATCTATCTATCTATCATCTATCTATCATCTATCTATCTATCTATCTATCTATCTATCTATCTATCTATCTATCTATCATCTATTAACATCTATCTATCTATCTATCTATCTATCTATCTATCTATCTATCTATCTTTCATCTATCTATCTATCTATCTATCTATCTATCTATCTATCTATCTATCTAATCTATCTACCTACCTACCTACCTACCTATCTACTGGCTGCCTATCTTACTACAGGATAATGTCTCTTCCTTCCTGAAACCTCTTGAAATTAATTTGAAATACAGACTATTTCTGACTCAAAATACTTTCTTTTTTAAACTACAGCGCATGAAATGGAGAGTAAATGAAAATTAGCGATTAGAAAATTTAGATCTAAAACCAGCAGTTATTTTTTTGCGATAAGTGGCTGCCATTTGTAAACTGAGCTGCCCCAAATTGGTGACAAGATGAATATACATGTTTTTTAAAAAAAATAAAAAAAAATAAACTCAGTTTAAGAAAGGGAATGCAGAGAAACTGCCACTGAATGAAATAGAGTAATTTTGAAAGTGGAGCCTGGAGAAAATGAGATTTAACTATTGTGGGGAGAGCTGCATTTAAAAGCCAATCCTAGCCAGCTCTAAGAAAAATCGTAGCGAATGCCTCTGAAGTGTGCACTGGTGCATGTTCATTTACACAGCCATTTTCTTGCTCTTCAGGAAATGGTGGACTGGTTCAACGCCATCCGTGCCGCGCGATTCCATTACTTGCAAGTGGCATTCCCCGGAGCCAGCAATACTGATGTGAGCTTGGAATTTCTTCTTTCCTCTTTTTGTTCCCTGGAATTATTTATATTAATGTCTCTCAAACTTGGCAACTTCCAGCTGTGTGGACTTCCAACTCCCATAATTCCCAAGAAAAAACCAGCATGGTTGAGAATTCTGGGAGTTGAAGTCCACACACCAGGAGAACGTCTCGATTGAACAGCAAGCTGGCTGGGGAATTCTGGGAGTTGAAGTCTACCTATGTTAAAGTTACTAAGATTGAGAAACACTGGTTTAATGTCTGTTTATTTGTGTCAAATAACTGTACAAGCCAGCTTTCCTCGTTTTATCCTCTTACTGCAACAATTGATGGCTAAAGACCTTTTGGGAGGCTGATGCAATTTTATTCTTCCTGCTGCTTCATTTCTCCATTGGCACTGCGTAGTATTTCTATCTTCTGATCTCCTTCCTCTTCTAACATTTGAACGTTCTAGCTGGTGCCAAAACTTTCAAGGAATTACCTGAAGGAAGGCTACATGGAGAAAACTGGGCCAAAAGTAAGTTGAGTTTAATCTTTTCGGTCAAATGCAATTTGACAATGTTGGGTGGGAACATTGCGCACGAATCATGATGATTTGGATTACATTTCAAGTCCCCACGTTGCTTTTTTTTTCAAGAGGCAAACTGGACTTTCTGGTTTCTCTTTTGAAGACGTTTCGCTCCTCATCCAAGAAGCTTCTTCAGCTCAAACTGGATGGTGGGGAATGGAAGTCAGAGCTGAAGAAGCTTCTTGGATGAGGAGCGAAACGTCTTCAAGAGAAACCAGAAAGTCCAGTTGCCTCTTGAAAAAAAAAAAAAGCACCTTTAAGGACAACCAAGTCCTGATGACTGAGGATCTCCATAGATATTACCGTTCAAGTTTGGTTATTGCCTTCCTTTAAACGTTTCTGCCAGTTCTGCTCCATAGCGTGTTATGTTCTGAACTACAAAGAGATGGTTGAAATATGTCCATGGTGGTTTTGTACTGGGGTTAGGGTCGGCTTGGAGACCCTGAGAGCCTATGGAAAGCATTAAAAGCAGAGGTGGGATTCAGCCGGTTCTGACCGATTCTGGAGAACCGGTAGCGGAAATTTTGAGTTGTTCGGAGAACCGGCCAATCCCACCTCTGACTGGCCTCGCCAACCCCATCTCTTCTCCGCCTCCCATTGAGTCCCAGCTGATCGGCTGGGTCTTCTTGGGTTGCCCTGCACAGGAGAACGGAGCTGGAAAGCAGGTTAGTGGGATGGGGGAGGGAATGGGGATTTTGCGGTATCCTTCTCCTGCCACGCCCAAGCCACGCCCATCAGGCAACACCACGCCCACCAAGCTACGCCCACAGAACCGGTAGTAAAAAAAATTAGAATCCCACCCCTGCTTAAAAGCCTTATCATATTCCAAAGGAATTTTGATTGGCAACTTTAGCTTGCGCTAGAAAGCTGATATTTCGCATATTATTCTGAACCCTGAAAAAATAGGACCTTGGTGGATCTTTCTCTGGAAATGGCTAACTATAGATGATATCAGAGTCCTTGAAGAACTAACGTCGGGTAGCTTCCTTAAATGACCAAGTTATTTCTATGCTCGACGGACCAGCTGAATGTCTCCTAATAGACCATCCCATAATAGCAGAGTGAAAATTACTACCGATTTGGGAATTTGGCTGGGTACAAGTCTTTGGCTGGGAGAGGAGGCCATTCTCATCCTCGCCCGTCTTGAACAAGATGACAGCCATAAATATTGTGCTTTCCCAATTCAAAATGGAGTTATAGCATCCCTGGGGAGGATTAGTGTGCCTGCATTTATTATTATAAGCTATATCTTCTTCCCCAAAACTATGGCTCATTTTTATGGTTTTCCTCCCTTCTTTTGGATCCTTACAACAGACTTGCAGGGTTGATTAGGCAGAAAATTTGGGATTTTTAACCTGGGTTTCTTCAGTTCCAGATGAACATTTTATCTGACTTCTCTGCTCTTCGGTCAGCTTTTGAAGGAGAAAACCACCTTTATTCTCCCCCCCCATGCATTGCAGTTTCTCTCTCTCCTAATTAAGGTGAACCAAGAACTTAATTATTTTCTTGCTGTTGTGAGCCAAGGAGAGTTTTAATCAAGGCCTCCGTCTCTGTGCTTAACCAATTCATTAAATACAAATTAAAACAAGCCTAAGGTTTGCATCAGATTTTAACTGGAGCTGTCTTTTAAAAGAAAAAGAGAGAGAGATTTGTATAGATTGGCTCTGTTGCTGCTAACAATTTAATCCGATCAGCACAATCTAAATTATGTATTGTTTTTTGCAAGATGCTTCGTTCCCTCCGCCCTTTCTCGGGATCCCAAGGGAAATTAAAATATCAGAGTGTGGCAGAGATTCAAAAGGAAGGCAGAAGTTTAGGTTTATATTCCAATATTCAACATTTCTGCTTCTTTCAGGGTAGGAAAACACATGCAGAACATTTCCCCAGCTGTCAGGATTGATGCAAGCATGAACTACATACTTCCAGATGCCAAAGGGACTAGAAACTTGTACTTTTGAAAAAAAAAATTATGGATGTGGCTGTTTTTAGGGATCTGTGGCCAGCATTGTATTCTGCCTTTTTTTTTAAAGTAGATAAACTGGAAGAATAATTATGATTGCCTGATTATCATAGCTAGAATTTGAATCTGTAATCTGTTCTCTTTGGTCGTAGCTCTCTGTGTTGCCTGAATACACAGACACAAATAAGCCGTGGTTGTAGGCTTTTTATAACCTGGGAATCCAGCCAATTGTGACTTCTTTAATAAACTCTTATTTTAGGAAACTGGCTCCGCAAGTCATGAGCTTAACCCTTTCACCTCTTCTTCATATATGGTTTGAAGAAGTTTCAAATAAGCAATATCAGTGCTGAATTTTTTTTCTTTTTTAAAATTATTTAGTAAGTTCCTACATGCGCAATTAACCAGACAATCTTTAATGTGAATTTTTTTTTTTTTTTTAAAAAAGGAAGGAAAATAAAAATATCTATCTTGTATTTTAGATAAACATGTCGCTGGTTTACCGATAAAAGTTTTCTTTTCCATTTCTTCCCTTTTAGCAAACAGAAGGGTTCAAAAAACGCTGGTTTACCATGGATGATAGAAGATTAATGTACTTTAAGGATCCTTTGGTAAGTTGTCTCCTCCTCCTCCTCTTTTACAACTTTTCAAATACACCAGCAGTCTTCAAATAGTAAACATTCCAGCTCCTTTGAGTCTTTCGACAGGGCTTGGTTTCCATTTGCCTCACCATCTTGGTAGCCTTCTCCAGTACCTCAACTCCTTGCTGGATATCATATTCCAAGTGGCATCTGACCAAGGCTGGGAAGAAAGGGACTATTTGTTCTCTAATTCCTTCCACGATAGCATTTGCCTTTTTTAAAACAGCTGCCTCGCACTCTTGGCTCTCCTTCAATGTCCGACGTACCAGAACACGCAGATCCTTTTCACGGGCCCTCTTGCCAAAACAGACCTACCCCATCTTACAACTGGCTCTTTTTTCTCTCTCTCTGTCTAGATGCAGGACTCTCTGTTTGTGGTCCATTTCACCCTGTTGGCTTTAAGCCTCTCTAGATTTGTTTCAATTCCCCCCGCCCTTGTTTTCTTCTAAAATAATTCTTTAGCTTTCTCTCTTCTGGTTTGAAGAGAGAGAATCCGAGAGTTTTTTCTTTAGCTCTTTCTTTAGATAGAGATAGATACAGATAGATCAATAGATAGATCAATATAAGTAGAGAGATAGAAAGAGATGATAGGTAGATAGATAGAGATAAGTAGAGATAGATAGATAGATGATAGGTAGAGATGATAGATAGATGGATATATAGATACATAGAGATTACAGATAAGATAGATGATAGGTAGAGATAGAAAGATAGGTAGATATAGAGAGATAGATGGATATAGATACATAGAGATAAGTAGAGGTGATAGGTAGACAGATATAGTTTATATCTATCATCTCTATCTACCTATAGAGAGATAGATGGATATATAGATATATAGAGATAAGTAGAGATAGATAGATGATTGATAGGCAGATATAGAGATAAGTAGAGATAGATAGAGATGATATAGACAAATGGATATAGAGAGAGATAGAGATAAGTAGAAATAGATAGGTAGACAGAGAGATAGGTAGAGATAAATAGACATAGATAGATGATAGGTAGAGATAGATAGATAGATAGATAGATAGATAGATAGATAGATAGATAGATAATAGATAGATAGATAGATAGATAGATAGACAGACAGATAGATAGATAAAGAGATAGATAGGAATATTTTTCCTCCTAATTGTGACTTTTCATGGAGCCCCAGTTGAGAAAGGGATGGGAAAGACTGTTGGTTTGGGCTTCAGATCTTGTCTTGGTCATTAATTTTCAGAGCGATGCAGGGGAAAAAACCAACCAGGTTAATCCTTCCAATTCCTTTGTAAACATGGAGTCCTTCTGCTTTGTCCTCTACTCAGGATGCTTTCGCCAGGGGAGAGGTTTTTATTGGGAGTAAAGAAAACAGCTACAAGGCCCTGGATGGGCTCCCACCGTCTACCCAGGGAAACCACTGGCAGTACGGCATCACCATCATCACCCCTGACCGGAAATTCCTCTTTGCCTGTGAGACCAAAAGCGATCAGCTGGAGTGGATCTCCGCTTTTCAGAAACTGATCAACAGGCCAATGCTGCCGCAGGAATACGCAGGTGAGGCTCCAGCGTTCAGTCTCAGGGGAGGAGCCATCGCTCGTACGATGTCGACGGAAGCCTTCATCAAAACTGGGATCGGTGCCGTTATAATCTCAGTCACTAAACAAACCATTGTAAGTCGAGGACGACCTGTAAAGAGGTCATCAGGGTTCCAAGTAACATACCCATAGCAAACAAAACTCTGAAGCAGGCAAATTCTTCAAAGAATTGGTTGATTGGATATGTCATATTGGCACAAGCTGGTGGAAAACTGACTCTGAATATTCCCGTGGTTTTCCACCTAATTGAAAGTGAAAGTTGGTCACTTTCTCCAAATGATCAGTCACATGGTCCAATCAGGATGCTGTCCAGTTGCTAGGTGACTCCAGTCCCCTCCTTCCGAGCACCCGCAGGAATGTCCTTGGTTCCCACGAGAAAGCATTTTGTTTTGACTACAAACCCCAACTATCTCTATTCCTCCCTATCCCTCTTCTTCAGTGTGTCTGTGCTAAAGTCTCAAATGGCCTCAGTCAGAGGTAGAAATTAGGATTTTAAAAAAGTATTGCTATGTAAGCAACTGACTCAGATAGTACGCTGTACACCAAGCACTTATTGTATGTAAAGAAAAAATAGATAAATGACAAATAAAATGGCCTCAGTCAGGCCAGCTTCAGGGCTGACAGCAGCTTCTTTTGATGATATAATTTCTTTCTTTTTTCTCTTTCCTTTCCAGTGGAAGCCCATTTCAAGCATAAACCCTAAGCGACGATATGAAGCAAGATCGGTTTACGACCCACAAGGACATTGGTTTCGTTTTAAGTTTTTGTTTGCAAGGCTAGCAATGACCAAAAAAAAAGCAATTATATAATTAGCGAATCATTTTAGACCACAAGGTGGGAGGTGCAATTAAAATGCTTGAGCTGCGGATCATGGTGCTGTCTGTCCAAAGGAGACCGAAACCACAGGCAAAAGCAGCCTTGCACTTTCCTGAGATTGTCGTTCTTGAACACTTACGGGTGAATAACCTGGACACACTAGTGAAAGAATCCATGTGTGATGTTTTAGAAGAATCCTGACACAACATCCTTTTCTTTTCTTCTGCTTGGCTCTTGGCTGAGCTATTATGGTGATGTCCTTGTGCAGAACATGTTCCAAGAAGGCATGTTCAGAAATTGTAGCAGAACCTAGAAACCATCCATGGAAGGTATCATTCGTAACGCTCAAACTCTGGTCTGGGAGGAGAAGGAGGGAGGATAGAAAGAGGTTGCACATGATGAAATGTTGACAGTGGACCTCCGTCGTCTTGCTGTCAGATGTGTGGTGGCATCTTCTAATGCATCTGTTCCGCTGGCCCAGCCTTAAAAGAATAACAAGTTGGAAGGGACTTTGGAGGTCTGCTAGTCCAATCCTTGCTCAAGTAGAAGATCTTATCCTATTTCAGATAAATGGTGGTTCCATCTCTTCTTGGAAACCTCCAGTGATGGAGCACCCATAACTTTAAGAGGGAAACCATTCCACTGATTCATTGTTCAACTTGTTCTCCGGGAACGTTGCTAACTACAAAATCGGGGAGCAATGACCCTCCAATACTTCTTGAAGATGTTTGATGTGGAGAGGCTGGGTTTAGCCATTTCTTCGGGTTGTTTTGCTTCTTGTCACATTGTGGTGCTTAAAGAATGGAGCCTTATCATGACATTTGAGCAGGGAGGGACAAGCTAAGAAAGGAATGGAATAATACCAACCCTCAATTTTGGAACAAGACAGGTCTGCGTGACTCAGTAAGGAACTGAAAAGCTTGATTTTCCCATTTCTGAACTCTCTAGGAGCATCCATGTTACTATCCCCAAGAGTCAAGATGGTAGCCGTGATGGAACATTGCGAGCATTATCCTCACTCAGAAGAATTCAGGATATTGTCACCCAACCACCATGACCAAGCTGAACCAGGACAAACTTTTGCAATTATCCCTTGACAATAACCCATCCACGAGTGGACTTTTGCAAAACAATGATTAAATGCACACAAAGCACTAAACTATGGTTTGCTTCATCTTTAATGACTTAGCCACCTTTGAGTTTGCATCGTACGCTAAGCCTAGCACAACCCAACCCAATTCACGGTGACGTGGGATTGTTTTCACCGGTGAAAAAACTACTTTCGATGTCAGAAGTGACTTTTCCAAGATGACTCTATGCTAACAACAAGCCTTTAACCCAGGGGTGGGCAATGAATTTTTCCCAAGAGGTCACAGGAGAAATTAGGTCTGTTGTGGAGGGACAAACTAATCGAACTGTGAAGGTGTGTAGATTATTATTTTTTTTAAACGGGGCTTGTCTTCAAAATTAAAGCAATGCACCTATTTTGCGTGCCATTTGATTTCTAATTTCGGACTGATGGCCCAGGGGCCCGTAAAATACCCAGGTCTGCTCAACCTCAAAGCATTTGTTAAAAATGTTCGTCCGTGAAACAGCTTAAAAACTAACCGCAGCGCAAGTAGCCCATAAGTTAGAAAGCAAACCATGGTTTGATTCAAAGCTCCGTTTACTTCAGGTGGCAAGAGATTTTCTGTTTACATTTTTGGCAAGTGGGAGCCATTTCGGAATTCGCTGCACGAGGGACTATCGTTGACTAATATGGGATTTTAATTTTTCTTCTGTTTTCATCGTGTTTAGCCACCCGGCAACTGGCTCGCAGCTCTCTCTCTCTTCTCTAAAGCCAACTTCCCACTGTTTGTAGCCATACTTTGAACTGATTGTCTACTTATACTGACCGACTGAGCAGGTTAATTCACCCTTTGGCTGAAATCTTTCTCGTCTTCTCTCTTCTGGATGGAAGATTATATTAGTTCTTGCTCCTCCACAGGCTGAGTTCCGGCCTTCACAACTTTTTACAAGTCAGGTACAAAAGAATTCTTCTGAAAAGTCCAGGACTAGTTGTTCCTGCATCTGAAGACAAGTCTTGATTTAAACTAGTTTCTTCCTCCGTTCCAATGTTTCTGTAAGAGCAGGTCTGCCTGTCCATCTCATGCATACGTTTGTTAAGTTTGATGGTTAAGACAGTTGTGGAACTAACTATCACCCACACCAATAAATTATTATCCTGTTGGCTTGATCAAGGCCTGTCTGATTAAATTCAGGGTGGAAAACAAAAATAGACGTTCTCTGGTTTTCTCGTTGTGCAATATTTGAAGCTTTTCTTTTTTTAAAAAAAAAAAAAAGCTAAAATGAGGAAGAGCATCTTTAGAGCTTTTAAGATTTATTTTTAGAATGGAAAATTCCCTGCTTCCAAGAAAGGAGGCAGTGAAAAATTGCTTCTTAAAGGATGACAGTTCAAATACAAATGAACTCATACAAAGATGCGATGGACACCATCCTTAAAAGGGGAACCTGGGAAATAAATGAACCATACAGTGTGGTATGCACACAAAAAAAGCACCCTTTTTGGGATTAGTGCAAGGGGGGTAAATGGGGGCAGTTGACTGCATTTTGTGTGTATCAGCACTTGTGACATATTTGGCCATGGCACGCTTCTAAGTTGATCGATCCAATCGGCAGAGATTCTAAACCTCTAAAATAGAGGTGTGTCCAACCTTTGGCAACTTTCATTGTTGTGAACTTCAACGCCCAGAATTCCCCGGCCAGCAACTTCCTGCTCTAAAACATGATTAAAGGTTGTAAGGCCAGATTCTCCTCCGATCAACCGGGCAGATTGACCAAGTTCTTAACAGGCAAAACGCTCCCTTTGTGTGTTTCGCCACATGTCTTTCGCAAGTCCATCACTCCCCAGGAAACGTGTCGCAATCTCTAGAGGAAGTACCGTTTCATTGGTTTGCAAGTCCTTCTTTAGAAGAGAGTGTTTGTGGGTCAGGGTTGAACTGTGTGTGGGGGTCTTTGGTTCTGCCTTCCTTTTTCCCGTGTACTTATTTGTCAAACGTATGAAGCCGCCCTGGTCTCACAAAACTAAGTGACTCCAGTGAGGGGATCTCGGTGGTGGTAAGGAGAACCTCAAGAGATAAAACCATCAGGCCCTTCTGGAGGTTGGTTAGGTGGCTGAAGCAATCTTCTTTGGGTATCTGTATGGAGAAGTCAGCTCTTGCCTGCACCCATCTTGAAAGGGAACACCGAGGGGAGCTAGGCTGAAAGAAACTGGGAAGATCTAATTTAACAGAAAAGAGGATGAATGTTGACCATATAGCACTTAAGACTTATACACCACTTCACAGTGCTTTACAGCTCTCTCTTAAAGCAGTTTACAGAGTCAGCCTCTTGCCCCCAACAATCTGGGTCTCCTCGTTTTACCCACCTCAGAAGGCTAAGTCAGCCTTGAGCCAGTCGGGATCGAACTCCTGGCAGTGGGCAGAGTTAGCCTGCAATACTGCATTCTAACCACTGCGCCACCACGGTAGTTAACCTGCTTAACAGCATCTTAAGAGACATATTGCCATTGTTCGCTCTAGTCTAGGGCAGGGTTCTCCAAACTCTGCAACTTTTAACTCTCGGAATTACTCAGCCATAGTGTGGACGGCTGGGGAAATTCTGGGAGTTGGAAGTCCACAAGTCTTGAAAGTCGCCAAGTTTGGAGAGGCCTGGTTTAGGGAATTAGTAAAATTGGGACTTTAAACCCAGCAAAGTAAATAATGGGAAAGACACGTCGCTCAGGGCTGCGTAAAAAATGATCGTGATAAGCTGCTGCGTCTTTTTCAGATGGATCAAAGGGAGAAATCAAAATCTATTTCCTGCTGCTCAATTTAGCTGGGATGAACTTTGGATGATCTTCCACCCAATAGCAAGGAGTATGTTGGGATACGGATGGCATTAAAGCCATGCTCTCCAGAGCTCCAGCATACATTAGCATCCTAATGTATATAGCTATACTCTTGGTTTTTTCCCCCACCAGAAAGGAACATATCAGATGCATAAAACAAATGGGGATCCACTAAAAAAAACCCCAACCCATCCCCTACCTCAATGCACTTTTCTGGCTGTCAATTATCTTCCAGCTTTGTGATGGGGATTCTTTTTAAAATGCCGAGACTTAAAAACAGCGACTTTTCTCTATCCAGAAGGATCCTGGACTGTGATCCAGCCAGCTGTTACAAATGAATAGGTTCCCTTTTTTATTTTTTGGGATAAACCCCTTCAGGCTCATGATCTCATGTTTGCACAACGGACACAAAGCAGATTGAGGGAGCTAACCACGTTCCATGGACATCCTGGTCAAGGCAGATGCAGAGACATGGGGGAAGTTTGGCTCATTCTGGTGAAAAGGACTCAAAAGGGAAGGGAAGGTGGGGAGGAGAGGAATTGGATCATAGCACCGTCTCTTCATTCTTGTTGACCAATTAGGAGCCTGGCTTTGGGTTGGGTTTGTGTCTGAAGATGTCACCAAGACCTTTTGTTTCTGAATGGGGGAAATTTTTTGTTATATATCTGAGCTTCAGCACCACCTAGTGACTTAAAATGAAGCAGGAAAATTAAAACTGGGTGAAGAATGGAGATTTGGCTTGGGGCTGAGCAGCAGACAAGTTGCCTGAAATGTTTCATTCATATATATATGAATATATATATATATATATATTTTCCCTACAGCTGCTAAACGTCAATTGAGAAACGAGGAGGAATGTGGGGAGAGAAAAATAAATCCAAACCTGCAAGTTTATCGTAAAATAGGTTTGCAGGCTGCTGTATGGACTGCACCTCGACTGCAATCAATACGTTCACGTGCCACAAAAGTGAACTGCAAACTTCTGTGCCTTTAAGTCTGCATTAGATAGTCCTCTACTTTACTGCCCTGTGTTAGGGGCTGTTCATGGTTATGACAACACGGGAGAAAGTGACTTACAGCCAGACCTCGCACTTATAACCTTTCCCCGCAGTCACACAATCAAAATCCGGGAATTTGGCAACGGCATTTATGACCGTTGCTGTGTCCCAGGATCACATGATCCTCTTTGGTGACCTTCTGACAAGCAAAATAGGAAGCCACTTAACAACCGGGTTGCTAACTAATTAAATGGTTCACTTAACAACGGAGGCGAGAAAGGTTGTACAATGGGGCAAAACTCACTTAGCAAATGAAGCAAACAAAAGCTGGTGGGACAATCATCATTGTCTTTTAATGACTCCATAATCCCTTGCAGGGTGGAATCCGGGCAACTGAATGGAGCTAGCCGTGTTTTAATGGCCGGATGCCCTTCCTGTCACCAATGAGGAGTTTTGTTCAGCAGATATCTCAACCCAGAGAGATAAATATCTGCCTCTCCCTAGGATCCAACTCACAGCCTTCTGATTGAGAGGCAAGAGCTGCACCACTCAAAAGCTGGTAGCAGAATGGCTTGAGAAAAATAAGATCTGGCAGAAAGATCCCAGGCTGCTGAGGGGAATCATAGCTAGCTGCTGCAGAAAATAGAAGAATCGTGGCTTAAGGCTCTCGTCCTATAAAATACAAGTGATCCTCACCTGTGCTCCCCAGGTAAGAGCAGCACACATCCGGTATAAAGTATTTATTTTATACTCAACAATTAACACAAATCCATCCTTTGTTTTGTTTTTTTACAGTAAATAGAAACGTAATATTCCCCTTTCATGCATGATCGCTGTATTAATCTGAGCCTTTTTTTTTTAATGTGAAAAAATAAAACGTCCCCTCCTCCATTTTTCGTCTTTCTTTTGCACGGTTTAAACTTCTGGTGTTGATGTGCGTTAACGGAGACGAGGATGTAAGAGTTACGCGAAGCCCGTTGAGCGGTTTTCGTAAAAGCTACTTATCGTTTTTGTTCTTTCTTTGCACACGAAGGGTTAAAAATGGGATCAAGTGGATCATCCCGTCAAAATAAATAAAGAATTTGAAAGGTCCGCAGATCCCTCTCACCTAAGGATCACTTCTTGCTTCTAATATGTGCATGCTTTCCTTCGCCAGCCAAAAAGGGAGATATTTTTATTGTATTTTTTGGGGGGAGCAGGGCTGCAGATTGCTGGATGTTTGGACTAATAAACCATCTTTCTAGGAAAAGAACAGGATTTTAGCTGTAGTTCATACCCTTGGAGGGCCGAAAGTTCTCCTCTGACTAACCCTCCCACATGTTGGGGTTAAATGACATATTTTTAGAAAGTTTACCTGAAGTTATGCTCGGCCTGTTATCTTGCTATCATTACTCAAATGGATCATATATTTTTTTTCCCTACGACGGATATGAATTTGGTGTAAGTCCTTGCTTGGGCTTTTGTTTTTTCAATCAGTAGCAATTTTTTCTTTGGCTCATCTGAAAATTCATTATTACTACTACTACTATTACTATTATTTTGGCACCAGTCTACAGGACGCTTTCTTGAGCAGAAATTGCCTGAATTGTCAACAACTCCACCCCGTTTTTCTTCCCTCCCCTTTGACAATCAAAATCCTTAATCGGTGACATGAAACGGTAGCCTTTGGGGGGAAATATATATATATGTGTGTGTGTGTGTGTGTGTGTAATCTTACACAGGAAAAGACCCGAACACACCTAGACCTACATACCTGTACCCGTGAAAATCTATGAGTGTATGTATGTATGCTATTTATATATATACATACACACACACATATGTATGTATGTATGTATGTATGTATATATATATATATATAATCTCAATAATCAAGGTGTGTTCTGGTTTTATTTCGTGGGCCTGGAAAGAGGAGGGAAATACTGCTCAGAAAAACCACAGACAAGGCGCCTTTTCCAATCTGCTGCCAGCATTAAGAAAAGTCCGCTAATGATCGCAACAAAATCGGTTTTTCTCCTGGCTACCCAAGCGCATTGGGTGGTGTTTTTTTTTTTTTTTAAACATAAATAATATAGACCAAAACATTATGAACATCTCAGCAAACCTTCTTCTTTTAAACATAACAGAAGGGGCCCCCTTGAACCTGTCGAAGAACGACTGCAGGATTCGTTCCCAATGTCTTTTTTTTTGTTTTTTGTTTTTGTCATCGTCGTGGTGGGAGTCTCAGGTGAGCACATGGTGGGATTCCAAGGGATTCAGGAGGAGCTCAATCCAGCTCGATGGGGCTGCTGTTTTCCTGCTGCTCTTCTGTTTCCTCCTCTTCCCCGGCTACCATGAGGCTGTTTAAAAGATTGCCTAAGGGAAGAATCACAGGAGGAGGGAAACCCCAAAATGTTAGGGATGCTCATCTGAACGATGGGCCCTGGACACACATTCACCCAGAGTTACCTTAAGACGGACAGCCTATAAAATTCTTATATGAACAAGTAATAAAATTCTGCTCCCGAGTTGCGGTCAGAGCGTGTCGAGGGTAACGGTGGCAGCTGGCTCCCCAAAATAAGCTAGGGTAACCAATCCACAAGACGCAGATCTTAATTAAGATTGTGCATGGTTTATCACAATTGAAGTGACTGCCAATATGATCCACCCAAGTTAGAAAATGAACAGGTGGCCAGCGGGATGACACGGGGGGGGGGGGGGGCCCCCCCTTCCAAGGCCGGGGGGAAGGGCAAGGGGGTCTCGGCCCCCCTGAACAAGGGGGGGGGGGGTTCTGGATCTGGGTGGGGGTGGAGGACCTCCTTCCAAAGGGTAGGCACTGATATGGAGAAGGTGGGCTTCAGGGCTCCTGACAGATAACACCGCTGAATCAAAAGGAGCCCAGAGGTTAACAACCACCCAGTTGTTAGCTTTGGAAGCCATATTGAGACCAGATGCTCCCACGCTGCCACATTTTGAACCTGGGAAAGTGGGAGGGGGGAATTTCTTGGAGTGTATGTAGTTACACGTAACATTCTTTTTCAAATTCAAGGTCATGTTATTTCTCCACCTGGGTGAGGGGAAGTCTCAAGTTGGGACGGAGGGTGATTGGGCCATGTGATGCGATGATGGGTGCAGTTGGGGTGGATTTGTGGTTTCTACTTATTGCAAGGAACCCCAGGACTTTCAGGATTCCCCAGATGTGCCACTTTACTATCCAAATAAACTTTTGAGAAGAGGTCTGTCTTGGAGTTATTGGTTGGAGGTTTGCTGGAACGCTGACACCCGTAAGAGGTATTTAAACTCACATGAAAGGTGATGGACCCACGCATTGCTGCCCTCCCCATGGCAACAAGAAGCCATCAGCTAAAAAAACAAGCTAATTTTTTTTTTCTGGAGGCAAGAAGGTTCGCCCTGCGTCTTCAACTCACCTAATAGTCCTCCGTAGGATGACGTTTGTTTTGGGGGGACACCGAAGAAGAGCTGTCCTATTCTGTCTAGGTACTGAAGAAAGCACAGGGGGGAAAAAAGAGACGTTACTCGTGGCTCATCTTAGGCACCATGTACTAAGCAGGGCTCAACGCTCTGCCTACAGTATAATTATTTGCAATTAATGTTTGCTGGGGTGTTGACAATGGTTCAGTGTTACTCTAGGTGGGATCTCCAGGCACATGTCCTCTACAAGTGGAGGATTGGTTTTATAGAGAAGGGGCCACTGGGATGGTAATGGCAACCTGAATTCGCTTTTTGGATTCCAAAACAACCTGGAAACATGCCATTCTTCCCTGCTTGTCCTAGTAACAGGTTGAAAAGGAGGGAGATTCTCATTGTGCAGAAAAGGCCTTTCTCGGGGTTGAGGCACAGCGTCTAAATTACTCCCTGGTGGAAGAGCTATGTTTAACACCTTGCTTCCCACATCTTCAAACAGTTTTTCTCTCAGCAATATTAATAGATATGGGGTCCTTGGTCCTCTCTGAACCTGCATGTTTTCTTGCAGACGGTTCATTACCCAACTAGGTAACATCACCAATGCTAGAAGGGAGTGGGGTTTGCAGAGAAGTGGTGGTGGAGGAAGAGGAGGAGGACTGTGGGGTCTATGGTGTTAGCCTGGCTGTTTCCTTGCAGACATTTCATTAGTAAACTAGGTAACATCGTCCGTGCTAGAAAGCAGCAGGGTTTGCTCTCCAATTTCCCCACTCCCTTCTGACACAGATGATATTACCTAGTAGGGTAATCAAATGTCTGCAAGGAAACAACCCAGCCCAGAGAGCACCAGGGACTCCACAGTGAACCCTGAGCTAAAAATATTCTACCATTAGTACGAACAGATTCCCAGAGTGTAGTAGGATCTCGTTTTTAAACAAGCCTACAAGTTAGTTGCCTATTTTCATCCCATGTTAACCATTCCGGGCGCATCTTGCATAGCTAGCTGGAAGTCGCACTCTCGGATTAAAATACGGGCGGAGGAATAAAGAAGGGAAAGGTGAAAAATATAAAAATCCCGCTTGGGATAAAACTTACTTCATTATACATGGGGTCCCGTTTCAGCGAAGGCTGATATTGTTCGCATAATACTGTAAATACGGTCAGTTTTCCTCTAAAAGAGAAGAGACAGCCAACACACACATACATACACATAACACACACGTACGTTTCAGGTGAAACTTGAAGAGTTTGAAAAAGGAAGCGTGTGTTCAGCAGCTTCATGGAAGGCTTACCCGTCAACCGCCAGCAGCAGAAACCAGATGAAGTTAAGCAAGGGCTGTACGAAGGGAGGCCCACTTTCTATGGAAGGATGCTTCTCTGTGTACGTCGTGAAAACCACCAAGGCGCTAGTTTTGTTTTTCAAGCAGAGGAATCTAAAACGGGAAATGAACGACAAACTAATAAATGGGTCTACGGAGATTCTCTTGTCATTCAGGTCACTGTTGTCTCAAAGAGGCTGGTGTGTTGTTTTTTTTCAGGAGGAAGAGGAGGAGGAGGAGGAGGAGGAGGAGAAAAAGGAGGAGGAGGAGGAAGAGGAGGAGGAGGAGAAGGAGGGAGGAGGAGAAGAAGAAGAAAAAAAAGAAGAGGAGGAGGAGGAGGAAATAGTAGTAGTTGTTTCACTTCTCATCCAAGAATTCTTGGATGAGATGCAAAATATCTTCTTCTTCCTCAAGGAAAAAACCCCCAGTCCAGATGCCTTCCTGGGAAAGTATCTTTGTGACAACTCTTAAAGGAGACAAAAACAGCTTCCAGAGAAGATCAACCTAGCTGGTTGGTTGGAAGATCAATCGAATTTCTTACAGCCCTAACAGCCAAATAGTTGAAGGTGTGACGCAAACAGTCAAGCCACCTTTGCTCAGATAAAACACAAAAGTTTTGGCTGAAAGATCCAGCGTAGAAGGGAACACTTACTGTAACACAGCTTGCGCCACAAACATGTCCACTTCACTGCGATATCCCTTGGCCGAGGAATATTCTACCAACATATTTGCGCAGCCTTCCCCGTCTGTGGAGTGCAGGAAGTGATAGCGAGATTCACAATAGTTCTGCTCTAGAAGAAAAGTTACATGAAAGAAAGGGTCAGCCTGGGAGGGCTGCTTCTTCAGCAGAACCGTCAGTCTAGATGGGTTCTGGCCTCGCATTTAGCCCAACTGGCTTCCCGTGCTGCGCGAGGGCAGCCATTGGGGTTTGTAAATTATGGCTTCTTGGCTTGGCACGATGTGGGATTCCAATCACTTCTGGGTTATGGAACAAACCAAAAAGTCAACTGACAAGTGAGGTCGCTATTTTTATGGTTTATTTTACTTTGGAAAAATACAGCAAGAAGTCTGAATCGGGTAAAAATACGTCAGTGTGCCACAGAAATTGTAGTGTTTTATTTTAATTTGGGGGTTCTTGTAAGTATAAAGGATGCTTCTTTTGACTTAGGGATAGCAAAACGGTTGAAGGTCTGTCCCCATCTTCCTCTATACCAGGGGTCTCCAACCTTGGCAACTTTAAGCCCAGTGGACTTCAACTCCCAGAATTTCTGGGAGTTGAAGTCCGCCAGGCTTAAAGTTGCCAAGGATGGAGACCCCTGCTCTAAACTAGTATTTCTCAGCAATGTTAAGATGCATGGACCTCAACTCCCCAAATTCCCCAGCCAGCATGACCTCAGAAGGAATTTTTAAGATGTATGGACCTCAACTCCTCAAAACTGATCTCAGAACCAGCCTCATGGGGGGCAGGGTAGATGTTCCCTCACCCAAGATCCATTGCTTGTGTGCAACTCTTAAAGGCACAAACCAGGCACACTGGAGGAGCAAGCAGCTCAGCTCGGGATTCCCACCTTTCCATAATGTGATAGCCAACAGCTGGTGTAGTTTTGGATGTCCCAGCTTCCCTGATCCACCGCTGGACCATTTCAGGGCTCTGGACACAAACGCGACTCTTTCGGGCGAGTTTTGATCCATCAGGCTGAACATTTTTGCCAGGTTCTCTAGAGGCAAGTCGAAGAGGCAATGCTTAAGACAACATGAAGGAGACTATAGACTTTTTTTAAAAAAAATAGACAATGCAGGCCAGCCACGGTAAAATGGAATTGGAAAGTAATTTATATCACAAGTCTCCAGGGTGGAACAATAAAGGGAGGGGGGAAAAAAACCCGGGGGGGGGGGAAACACTCACCTAACAGCTCATCGGTCACTTTCGCGTCTGATTTCTCTAAGGATTCCAGAACAAGCATGGAGAGATCAGCTGCGCTGTTTTGCTAAAACAAAACAGAAAACAAAAATTAAGTGGAAGCATTGGAATGAATTCCTAGGAATCAGGGGAGAAAATAAAAGGCCGGTGAGGCTGGCAGGAGATATTTTTCCTGGTTTGTAAATTGAATATTGCTTCTGTTAAGAGTGAAGGGCCGCAAGACACTTAAAAGATGGCAGAACTGGGATTTTGGAAGCTTGCAGAAGGTAATATGGTAAAAGGGGGGGGGGGGGG